AAATCTCGCGAAGAGCACCTGAGGTCTGTCTTCGCAGCTCTGAACTGAGCAGAGATTGACCTTTCTGTCGGCTTTAACTTATATCTAACATAATTTCTTACTGCTAAATTTTCTTTGAAATTAGCTGTAGAACTTTAATTTGGACTTCATTCGGAATCGTCCTGTGGATATTAATCTAATGGTCTACATAGGTAATACAAAATAAAGAAAAGAAATATTCCAAGACTATAAGCATCACCATATTTGCAAACGTTTCTTATTTAATTTGAGTCAGTTTATTGCGCTCATTTTATCAGTCGTCATGATCGCCAAAATCTTTAAAAAGTCTCTATCTCAAGAGTGAAGTGGGCCGTGCGTTCGGCTATGTGTGACGTGGCACCGCTTTCTTTATTGGCCATCAATTTGTCCTCTCTTTCCAAGTTTCTCTTTAAAATGTTGCTTTTGGTAGACTTGGGAACACCGTACGTATAACGAACATCTTTACGTGAAAGGTACTTTTCTGTCTACCTGACGCTGTTCTGAGTCATGAGTTGAAAGCAGAGTTACTGGTATTATACACCAACCGCACTCGGAAAGGGAAAATTGTGGACGTTTTCTATCCGATGTCGACAAATAGGCCTGTCACTGTAGCTGAGTGTTATATGAGTGTTAGGGGAACAGGAAGTGGTTATGTTTGCGTACCGCAGGGCACCAAACTTGTGTCACGCCATCAGTTCCTGGGAAGATAATTTGTTTCTTGAACCGTTGCTGCCTAGAAGGCAGCTATGGTCTGTCATCTTGCGAACGTCAGGCCAGTCATGATTGTCACTGCACAGTATTGTAATAACCAGCCGGTTGGTTATACAGGTTCTTTGATTTCTTGTTCACCAAAAGGCAACTAAGACAGGTAGGTATAGTTTCTGCTACATGGTTATGTCTGGCTGCGTCCGTTACCATTGGCAATCGTAAAATTCGATTGGCAGATAACTGAAAGTGTCTCAATGTTTGAACACGGAAGGTAAAAATATCAACCACGTTAGCCACATGTGGTTGAAAAGGACAACTCGATAGAAAGTGTTTGTACAGTATCTGTGCGGAAATCTAGAGACTACTGCAGTCTTGAGCATTCTGTTGTAAATAATAGGTGTCTCATTTTCTGTAGAACGATTCATTTTCAAAGGGATAGGATACTAGGCGCACATTCCTCGCCCTTAAATAAGTTCCTTTCTGTACATTTCAATACAGTTTGGCCCATAGAGCTGTAAAAACTGCCTTTATACCCATGTCTTGGCCTATATACAATTACGTTCCATTTTTTGTGCGAATAAACTTTGTCGGTGCTATTTTTACTGATTTCAACGTCACAAAACGTTACAATGATTTACTGAATATCTCCACTTAATAGCATTTATGTACCAACTGTATAACGTATGTCTGATGGGTAAAAAGGCATCAAAGTTTAGCCACTGATAAACCCAGTATAAATAAATGTACGTATGTAATTTCACAGAATGCCATTGCACGCTATCATCTTTGTCTCTAAAAAGTTTCTCTAAAATTGAAATTCACTAGATTTTGTAAATTATATGTAGTGCTCAATGGCATTCCTGCTTTATAAATATATTTTGAATCGTTCTTAAAAGAGCGCCAGTTGTTGTGCCTAAAAAAGATAATAAAGCTGGCATACCCCTTCGTTTTTCTTTCTCATTTACCCTACAACATATTTGGCTATTGCCATCTTAGACCCCATTCCCACAGATTTAAGATCGATCTATCCCTGTGGGGAGTCTCACTAGATTACTGTCAGCTTAGCCGGAGGTTATACATTTCATTGATATTGAGTGATTTCCACTCATACGTTTGTTCAATTGATATTAACCAAATAAAATAAAACAATTTTATCTATCATATCTTAAGATTAAACATCCACTTAAACTGCTTAAAATTAATTTAACTACATACCTATGTATTTATATTCAAAATAGTATCATCATCATCATCCATACGGATTCAAGAAGTACCAGTATAAGCCGACGCAATACTGTATAATCAACTACAGTGGTGCAACTTGAAAATTAATTTTATAAACGCCATAGCATAAATGTATTGCTACTATGATATGTATATTTTATATATGCTTCATGAAAAATATTTTTATAAAAAAAAATCGATTGAAACAACAACCCTGTCAAAATGCCGACAAATTGCTCTTTATCTAAAGTTTCTAGTTGCAGACGTAAAATGGCGTTTGGGTTAGAGAAAATATTAGAACGTCTTTCACATCTTAGAACACCTTTAGTTCCGAATATCAATTCATAAATATATTTTTCACTAAATAAAATATATTCTAATTCAAATCAACAATAGTTCTTATACACAATATTAATAGAACAATATATCTCATTAGGAGTCCAGTGATCATCACACACAATGCTTTCTTAAATTGAAATGAATGACCGGCTTTCTTTTAGATTAATAAAGATGGAATTTCAAAAGTAAAAGGGTCGTTCATTGTCGTATTTTCAATGCTAGTAGCGTCGTGCAATGTCGTTTTTCTTAAAGCGAGTAAGTTACAAAGGCCCCATGAAAATGGAATTTACACTTTTCGGACATCATATTTTCTTTGATGTTCACATGACCTTTTCACAGTTTTCACAGTTTTCAAATGAAATGCCCAATGTCACTCAGTGAATTTTGTTCCGTCAGACAAATTTTCAAATTTCATATTGCGCATTTTTTTTTTTTTTTTTTGCTTTCAATTTGATTCAAATGACTCGCTGTTTTTGACTTCAATTATCCCACATGAAATTTCAAAAGTGAGTAGGATTATTCAATTGACTTGCTGTCTTTGATTTCAATCAATTATCCTACATAAGATTTCAAAAGTTAGTAGGATGTTGCATTTTCAGTATCGGCGGGTTAATTCGGATCTGTTTTGCCCGAGATTAGGACGATCATTAGATGTCGTCATCGCACCATTTGGCTTGGCATGACTGTTTGATTTTCCTGGCAATATGCACCCGGAGCAACACATTGACTTTAAAGTAAGTTGAAATGTTTTACCGAACAATCCATAAATGAAAAAATTAACAGAAGAGTTAAGCACTGCTAAGAAGTTAAGCACTTGGAAAGATAGAGGCATGTTCCTTGCAACTTTCTGTGGCAACAGGTCAGAATAGAACCCAATGATAAAAGAACAACAATACACTAGATGGAACACCAGAGAAGAGATGGCGATCAAAACAACAATTTTTGTCAATTCTCGGTAAAATGACAATTTTCGCTGGAATAAAGCTTCACGGCGTTTCGATAGCTCTCGCAGTCTGCGCATTATTCCAATATTGCACTTCGTTATGATTAAAAAGGGAATAATAAAATAAAAAAGAAAGTGAGTAACAAGCCAGGTAATTTTTTGCTCTGGAAAACGGACAACAGGTGGTTTGAAACAAAATGGATAGGTCTTGTTCGATGAACACGACCGAAATCCAGCTGAAACGACGAAGAAATATTTCGGTATAACGCTTATGAAAGAGCCAATGACCACGGCTACTACCCACCCCACCCACACCTTCAGTGGCGAAGATTTCAGAAGCTGTACATGTGAAACAGACGAACAAACCAGACGGTAGCGGTCGACGGTAACAAGAACGCTTATCCAAATCGGAATAAGTAAGAGCCAGTTGTTTAATGTCCAAATCACTCGTGTATGTTTCGCAATAAAGGGAAGGGTTCCGGGTATTAGCTCAACGTAGGAGAATATGGACGGGATGCTGATAAAGAATGTTTGCGAAAGGAGATACAAATTATCAGCAACTGCCAAGCAACTGAGCAAAAAAGTTGATGAATTTTGTGCCTTAAAATTTCGAAACACGACAAAAGACGTCGTGTTCATAATAAAACCAATTACAGCAACGAAGAAAGCCAAAACACCACCAACAAAATGTACAATCCCCATGAAATCTTTATCATCATTCAAATCCCCCTCCACCGTCGAATTATTTGAACTGATATTTGGAAAGTCGACAGTCGACACAGTCTCATTCATCTTTTAAAACCGTCCTGCTTACCTTTATGTCTCAGCTCACTTCGGGTGCTCATACAAGAAGCAACTAAATTGAATCTGAAATAATCATGCTTATATTCGACCATACAACGCATTATAATTATTTACGTCTTAGGCGTCCTTCCGCAATCTTGCCAAAACCGTCATTTGGCTTTTAATACGGGAAATTGTTATGCACTACATGATGCCATTTCACAGAATTCATTATCCTCGCCATACTGATTATATAAGTTACAGTGTCTACATTAATGAAAACTGTCCAGAAGATCAAAACCCCTGCGAGGACCTTAGAATTGTAGATAACATGTACAAACCAGTACAGGGCGGCGCGTCTAAGACAAAAGTTTTCAAGTTTTAAGAACGATTTACCCACAGTGAATGAAGTTTGTATATTTTAAAACGGATTTTGCCATTGGGAGCACTGACATGCACTGTCAAGTCAGCCATTTTGATTAAGGGGCTCAGTTAAAAGACTCAGCCATTTTTGTGAAAAGCATTATAATTCGTTAGTATTCTCAGCAGTCTTTGCTGATATTGATACGAGATTCGAGTTGCAAGGCAAAAGCTGGTTTCTTTAATCCGTTTATAAAGTTACCACACCGGTGGCACTTATTATAAAACTCAAGTGTCTGTTTGAATAAGCTGCAGCTAGACTTTGTCATCGAGCGTTTCGTTAAAACTTGATTTTTTTTCTTATCCTATATCAAGCATGTCATCAAATTTCTACCCTACTCAATGTTTCCTCTTTACGCATAGCAATTTATTTTCCCCATAATTCTTCGCGAGAGGTAGAAAGAAGAAATCAGTAAAATTTGGATTTATTTCTCAGGCGCAATCATAGCTATACCTCACAATACCCACTGTTTCGGCAGCCAAATTAGCTGCAATTGTTCAGTAGTTCTTTGCTAAGGGGCATGAATCTTGCCATCACCGAAAAATGTAATAACCAAAAGTTGCAATCATTTAAGAAAGGTTTTATATTGGATTCAGGTTCATATCTGATGACCAGGCACTAAGCGATTGTATAAACAATAAACAGAAAACAAACAGACGAAAATAAGTAAATAAAAAAGGCTTATCTGGAAGCATCAGCAACACAAACCTAATCATTCCTCTCTGTAATTATGCTGCTAAGCCTTTCCCGGGAAAGAAAATAATCCATTATTAGTCGATATATTAGAATTCTCGCTACACTCACCTTAGTAATTACCAACATAAAAACAAAAAAGGAAATGCTAATAACAACTTTTCAACATAGCTTGCATGAACTACAGTATGCTTAGAAATTCCTGAGAAATTTTAAGCAATTGGCTTTGGTTTGATGCTCTGTACGCATCCCTTATTCCATCACACGGCTAGGAAAATAAATCTCTTCAACAAAATTACTTTCAGGTGAAAAAACGGTTCATATGGACTAACCTCTAAAGCAAGCCACTTTCTAGGCATTGTTGGATTTGGTCAAGTTACACGAGCGTGATCCTGGGCAACAAAATGCATGAAGTACTTAGCAGGGAAATCTTACACTTTCAAGCATTAGAGTCAGTGCAAAATAAATAAAATAATCAACTTCTAAAATAAAGCCACAATATTATCAGAGAAATGTTGTTTAAACTGAAAACTCTTCTTCACACTTTTTGTGCAATTTTTCATGCGTTTTACGACTGACATTGTGCGAAAAGGCCTCATCGCAGTAATGACATTTGTAAGGTTTCTCTCCTGTGTGTACTCTCATGTGTCTGGTACAAGCCCCTTTTTGTACAAATCTTTTCTCACAGAAGTTACAATGATGTCGTTTTTCACCTCTGTGAATTAAACTATGCCGATGCAATGCACCAGGAGCAGCAAAAGATTTTGTGCAGGTTTTACACTGGAAAGGTTTTTCACCAGTATGAAGTCTAATATGCCTCTGCAAATAAACCCCTCTCACAAAATCTTTACCGCAAAGGTGGCACAAATATGTTTTTTCCGGAGGCAAAATTTTGACATGATTTTTCTCATGCCATCTCCATGACTGACTTAAGGTAAAGTTCTTTCCACAGTATCTGCAAAGAAAATTACGGGCTTCAGGATGTGTCTTTTCATGGGTTCTGAAGCTACGTTTACTTTTAAATTCCTTTTCACAGTATGAACACTTAAAAGAGTGAGCTTTCTTATGATCTCTCAAACCTGACAACGTGGGAAAACTCAGATCACAATCCTTACAGGTGTGCATTTTATTTTTCTCCCCATTTTGTTTTGCTTCCATCTTTCTGTGCTTCCTACGCCCTTCCTGATGCTTCTTAAATATTTTTTTTGTTTTACCGATAAACTTGCCACATTTCCGTTTTCCTTGTTGATATCCTTCATCTCCAGGCTTATAAGGATCATCACTTTCCTCACCACTCATGCTAACTTCATCGTCATCTGTTTCAAGCTCTTCATCACTTGGTACATACAAATCATCATCATCATCATCATCATCTTTCATCGAGTGATCATCGCTCTCTTCACTCATTGCTTCCTCACTGGAATTAATTTCATCATCTATCAGATTCATGGGACTGACAGTAGTTTTATTTTGTATAATAGTTTTCTTTGTATTTTCAATACAAGCACTGCCCTTATCAAAGAGATCTTTGTTTGGTTCTGACTTAATTTCCTGTGTCTGAAAAGGGATGTGAATCCTTATAATACTGTCATGGTCCACACAAAACGTCTTAAGAAGGTTCAATTCAGCATTGTCTTGACCACAGCAGTTGCCCTGGCTTAACAAACCACATACCCCACTGTTGCCATAGTTCTGACCAAAGGGTTCCTCCAGCTGCCCTCTGGTGTCAGTATTGTCTTGACCAATGGTATTATCCTTTCTTGCCTCCAGCTGCCCTCTGGTGTCAGAATTGTCTAGACCAATGGTATTATCCTTTCTTGCCTTCAGCTGCCCTCTGGTGTCTGTATTGTCTAGACCATTGGTATTATCCTTTCTTGCCTCCAGCTGCCCTCTGGTGTCAGTATTGTCTTTTTCAATAGTATAGTTCTCTCTTGCCTTCAGCTGCCCTCTGGTGTCAGTACTATCTTTATCAATGGTATACTCCTTACTTGCCTCAAGCTGCCCTATGTCTTCAGTATTACTCCGATTTTCTATATTCTGAATGATAACATCCTTGGTATATTGATCCACAGAATTATCACGGCTTGCTCCACCTTGCTCTCTTGTGTCAATAAATTTCATGCAACTTGCCTGTTGCTTCATTGTTGAAACAGCCATGTCTTGCCCAGTGTTATCTGTAGAGTTTGAATCATGCTCCTGCACATAGGCAGCAAGTTGTCTGGCAGCGATACTGCCCTGGTCAGAATGGTGTCTGCCACAATCATAGAACCTGACCAAAAATATAACATGTATAAAATTCCAGTCATGTGTTTGTGATAAAACAATATTTCTCTAAACTAACCTATTTACAGTGTGTAAATACAATAGAATATTGAAAAATATACAAGAATCAATTAACTGATTAAGTATATTCTGGGGTAGCGCTAACACTCGCCAATTTAGCCAAATGCTAAAACTGACTTAAATTGGCTAAACAAAAAGGGCTTGATTTGACTCATTTTAGTTAAATTAACACCATTTGGATAACAAATTGACAAAAAAAAGCGATGATTTGTCTAAGTGAAAAAAATTGCTAGCGCTACCTCAGATATTATAGCAGGGAATTATATTGGATATAATTCCCTGATTATAGTGAGTAGATCCACATTAATGAACAATAAATTTAGTAAACTGTTTTGTGTCATTCTGAGATAAACCAGGCAAATTTCATTTGAGCATCTAGACTGAACTTTTTACAATGTATCAGCTACACCATACTCACAATACTTTATCAACTCAGGACTACCAACTCAACAAGGCACATCAATACTCAAATACTCAAAGGGCATCAAATCAACAAGAATCACAGTGATCTTCTAATACAAGGACATCCACTCAATCTGACTCACAGTTCTCAAACAAAACAAAAATACTGATCGACTCAACCAGACTGAAATATTTAACCAAAATAAGGTAATCCTACTTGTCCATACTTACGAGTCAAGGAGAATTTTTGCCACATCTTCATCCTGTATTTTTGTACCCTGTCCCATCAGTAAATGATTCTTTAAAGCATGCCACCTATCGATTTGGCTACCAATACGGACCGTCTCATATGACCTTGTTTTCCTGTCTAGTAAATAGACTTCTTCTGGAAGAGTCCTTATTATTACTGGTGCTCTATTCTTACGAGGACCGCCTGGGCAACCCCTTCTTTTCTTACGAGGACGGCCTGGCTTACGCTTGACAGGACATGTGACCTGCAATACAAAACGTATGTGCGCAGTAGGATTGATGTATTTTAAGCAGGAAGTTATACACAAAACCTATTTCAATCACTGATGCTTAATAAGTACTGTAGAAATAAATATATATACAGTATTAAACCTAACCAGTAGCTACTTTTACATCCAATCAACATAACTTTTTTTTTTTTTTTTTTTGGGGGGGGGGGGGGGGAAAGGCAAAAGACAACTGAGCACCAGCAAATATAAAATATAAATAGTCTGGTACATTGTGGGCCTCAGGCACTGGTTGGTTTTCTGTATCAACATCATTTTTCCTCAGTTTTACATCTCCATCTTTCAGGTCAATATTTTGGCATTCTTTTCCCCAGACTTCATCCATTTTTTCCGATTTTCTTTTGTTGCCTGGAAAACAAATATAGAATAAGATATGAACGATGGAAAATGTATATGAAATTTAAACAGATGGTATACATACATCTGATACCTAACACCCTGACCAAATTCTGACAGCTATCAATCATGTCAGATAATCTAATGTCAGAGTTAAGCAATAATTTTTACATTGTGTTGATGAGTTCTACACTTGCTTCAGTTCTCAGACTTATGTAGTGAATAGCTGGGGTAGACTTGGTAAGATACATGTAGCTCACTGGTAGAGCACTACCACAGTAAGCAAGAGAGTCCTGAATTCGATCCCCGGACTAGTAAGGCATCCCCCCCCCCCCCCAATATTCATTACTACAAAATAGCAGCTGTGTAAAGAGCAGTGGTCTCAGTCTCGCGGTGTTTGGGGGGAGGGGTGTGGTGGCTGTTCTGAGTCAGGTACTTTTGCTAAAAAGGCTAAGCTTACATGCACATTTTAATTGTTATGCAGATGTTTCACCGACTACAGTAGGAAAGGTAAGACTGAAAACTGATGCAACTTCTGCTCTGGCTCGAGCATGGGCAGGTTATCAGATGCAGAGAGAGAGAGAGAAAGAGAAGAGACAGAGAGAGAGACGCGCAGTAGTAATTGTAACTGCCTGCCACTACCTCGCTTACTCAATCGACTGCTGAAGGAATAACAATCACTACTGCCACTTGTGAACGCAGTAGGATTCAATCTGCTCAATCTCTTTTTCTTGAAAAACACCGTGCCTGCAACGAGTTGGTTCGAGGTCGGTCAAGTATTCACCCTTCTCCCAGTGCCCTTCTCCCTTTTTATATTCTGTCATGGGAAACAAATAGCAATCGATAATACATACAAATGTGCAAAATATCTCAACTAACACATTGCCAGTAAAAAACTTTAGGCCAGACAAAATTAATATACTGATGTTTAAAGAATGGGAACCATCTGTAAACAGGCTCAGTGGACAAAATTTGTTTTATTTGAATCTTTAAACATATGATGTTAAACAAGAATAACATCAAAATTTCATGATTGTTATCATTTTATGGTACAGACACAAAATGTTCCATTACAAGTAATATTTTATTCCATCAAATATGACCAATGTGGCATGAATTTTCTTTTATTTGGTGAAACCATTTCACACCAAAAACAAACTTAAAACAGCTTTGAAAATTTATTTTAGATTGAAGGCAAACAAGGCAAAAAGGTACTCTTGAGGAAACTTGGATAGTTTCACTTGCTTGAGAAGTGACAATTTTGAGGAAAGTCAGTCATTTTTGAGGATGAAAATGAGAAAAGTGAGACGTAAATAACATCTACAAATGTAGAGGTTGGAAAGTTGGAAATAAATAACATAAAAAGTACACATAACAGGGTTTTTGTGCCAAAATTCATATTAGTTAACAGAAGACTGCAAGTGCCCTGTTCAGGAAAGCTGTCAAACGGCCAGATTCATATCCCATTGGCTGCATTGTCCTAAAAAATGCACGTAAAATCCAAGAGGTCCATTTCAATACTTGGATAAAAGAATAGACTGAATTTCTCTTTTACGTGTTTTTAAATGACGATTGTAAGATTGCCTATAATTCGTTTTGAATGTGCACTTGTTGCAGTCAAAGGTTTTATTATTGTGAAAGGCCATGTGGTCCTTCAGATGCCTTGCCTTTGTGTAACTTTTTTTACATATCGTACATTCAAAACTCTCTCTATGTGTCCTCAGATGAATTTTGAGGTATATTTTTGTAGGAAATGTCTTCTCACATAAGTGGCACTGGTGCGACTCGTTTCTGTGAAGCTGCTCATGAAGCTTGCGATGTTGCCTGAAATATGAAAACAAAATGACATTGTGACAAAGTATTAATGAAATGGCATTATTTGGCAAAATGAAAATATTTACTTGACAACTTTTAGTGAATAAAAAAATAAATAAATAAATAAAAGCAAAAATCATTGCTCCAATTTAACAACCTACTTGACCATTCATCTCACCAATAAATAACCTTCAAATCACATTCATGAGTTTCCTCATACAGTATGTCTTCCTTGTTAAAGCACATACTGAATAGTTCATATCCAAAACTAGAAAACAAAGGAAAATATGTCTGAATATAAATAAGCTATACACACCCAGTACAAAAAGTCTTATTACAACGCACACAATGGAACCTTTTCTCTTTGTGACGGGACCTTCTGTGGTCCTCCAGGGCAGACCAGGCGTGGAACCCCCTTGGGCATTCCAAACAGCTGAACGGGTAACTACCAGTGTGGGTCCTGTTATGTTTTTGTAGAGCGCACTTTGAGCACAAGATCAGTAATCTCACCTAACGCATCACGACTGCTTCTTTCAATCAGTTATATTAAAAGAACTACAGCTGCCAACATGGTTTGCTGCTTCGTTTTTAGATGTAGTCACCGAAGTAGGAGGGAAAAGTGTTCGTTTTTCGGTTCCCTGTGGATGAACTCAAACGGAGCAAATGGGAAAGACTGCAGCCCGGGAGCCACGATGGTCATTATGCCATTTAGCATTATGTAATACAGTAGGACACATACTCAGAATAATGAGACTGTTAACATGCCTAAAATTTGAATCTGAGGAAATGTGAAAAAACAACATAACTTCTAAAATAATGGCCCGATTATGCTGATTTTTCGAACTCAACCTGCATTTTAGTAAGATTGACCAAACCTGTGAGTTAAATGAGTGTTTTCCACGAAATCGTGAGCATGCGCAGTTCGCGCCATTTTGTGCGGGACTGTTTCTCAGGGGGCAAGAGTAGGGGCCTTCGTGGACGGCTGTCACGATGTAAAGTAGATCTCCCGCTCTTTGCATTTATCGGTCATGGGTGGCCATGACAACTGCTGCGTGTATAACTGCAGCCACCGGAGAGGTAGAAAAGATAATGTTTGTAGTTTTTTTGTATTTCCAAAGGACAGACGTTCGAAATTGCTATGGATTAGTGCCACTGGTCGTGCGGATATTTCATTGAAAGATATAACTGACAACTTCAAAGTCTGTGGCTGTCACTTCCAATCCGGAAAGCCAAACAGGAAAGATGGTAATTCTATTGATGCAGTACCATCAGTTGATTTACCAAAGTCACGCAAAACGGTTAAAACCAGGCGAACTTCAAACAGTATTTCAAGTGCGACATGGGCCGAAGCGACGGAGAGTAGGACTAAAAAAGTCATCGTGGTAGGAAACTGTGTCCCAGATGTGGGCCAAGAAGTTGTACTTCCCCTTGTCCAGAACTCAGATGTAAGTATCAATGAATTCAATATCGTGGAATATATGTTTATACATTTTGTACAGTATGACAGTGTGTATGATAACATCTGTTAAAGTGACTGTTTTAATTAAACGTTAGTTAGCCGGTGTGACTGAAATGCGCAATACACTGCAATACCGGTGTGACTGAAATGCGCAATACACTGCAATACAGCGCAATACACTTCAAAAATCAAATCCAATTGCAATTACACAAAAGAAATGACCATTCCCAGCAAAGTAGGGTGATATAAAAACAACCTATATTACTAGGTAAGTAATATTGTTGATATAACTTAACAAATCAGCAAGACTTTTATATTGTCCGGTTGGCAGCCATGTTGGCGAGTGGCTTTTCTTGGATATATTACTGGCCAAGAAGAGCTACTGGCCAACATGGCGGCTGACCAAACAATGAAAAAATTGTCAAGTTGTATCAGCAATATTAATTACTATGTACTATATTTTGCTTTAATATCACCCTATTTTATTTGAGATTACCCTTTCCTGTGTTTACTTGCAACTGGACTTGTGTTATCAAGTGTATTGCGCTGTATTGCAGTGTATTGCGCATTTCAGTCACAACATCAACGTTCATCGTGTCTAGACAGAGTGTATAAGTACACGCTCTCTTCATTTCAGGTGGAACCAGAAAATATGATATTCATGACAAGTTTTGAAAAAACTCAGTTCGTAATAAACACATGACGATGATGAGATTTGTTATTCAATACAACAACAACACATAAATGAACAGGCGCTACAAAACTGGACAGAACTATTTTTTCACGATCAGATTAAAAAATTAAAAGATACAAAATACTAGTACAGCCACTCAGTAATGTCAAAAATTGATTTAGCCATATAAACCCTACCATGCTTAACAAATTAAAAAGAGAGAGAGAGAGAAATTTAGAGAGATGGGATTAAAAATAGAGAAAATGTGTATTTTAGTATTTCCATCTTGAGAGTTCAATTAATTAATCCATTTTGCATGGGGTCAGAGGGTTTCTGAAAAATAAATCACACCAATATTTGACCAGCTAAATCATACTGTTCTAAACTGTACCAAAGGGCCCTGTTTGCTCTCCAAAACACCTTAAGCAGGCCCAGAACCCCACACCATTAAGGGGTAGATGGTGAGTTTGCTATCCGAGGCCCGTCCTTTCAGACCCCCCCCCCCCCACTACAAAAAATCCTAGACCTGCCTCTGGGTCCGTTGGTATTTACATGCACGGGGGGAGGGGGGGGGGGCTTTACTTGTAGTCATATATTGTGTGGAATAATGCCAAGCACAACAGGGTAATACTATATGTTATAACAGCATAACAATTAAAGGGATAATACCTCTTCATTTTGGAAAAAAAAAATCCTGGAGTAAACAACAATTTCCCATACTTACTTAAGGCCACACTTTTTTATTTTTATGGATGACATCCTCTGGGGACCCCGAAATCAGTGCGAGAGGGCGAAAAAAAAATACTGCTTAAGTAAAGGAATGCTGTCAGTACACAGCTGGAAACACAAATTTAGCACAGAAACACGTATCAAACTAACAACAATATGTCTTTATATCCATGCTCTCAAAATATTAAAGCATTATGAATACTTTGGAGAAAGGTAAAAAAATCGTGAATAGATATGCTGCATATTACCAAATCTATTTAAGGCTATTTCATTCATTTTGTTGGTATAGCAATCAATAAAACAAATATCAAACAAACAGAGTGTCCTTATTTGTAGCCTGCTCTCAGAATATTAAAGAATTATGAACACTTCGCAGAAATGTTTTAAAAAATGATGCAAAGATATTTTCACTACAAAAAAAAAAAAACTGGCAATCTGTGTCTGTACATAAAAAATGGAGATATCTTTTGGGGATAACCCTGTAACTGTTTAATTTACATACAGGCATCTTAATTTTTACTGACCGTCCTGGTCTGTAATTAAATTCTAAAGATTATTTGAAAGCTTTTGCCTTGAAGCTTTTAAAGCCATTTTTATACAATTTATATTTACAAGGTGGTAGTTGCTGTTTGCCAGAGAATGGATGAAGAAGCCACTGATGACCCAAAAACTGCAGAATTTCTGAATGAAGAACACTATGAGGCAGGCCATAATTTTCATTCTACAGGGAGTTTAGAGATAAAAGGGGGAGAGGAAAAGGAATGTCCTGTTATTGGCTCAAGTATGCCCCCAACACATCTGTGATTTTATTACGCATTTTCTCCCACAAGTTCTTGATTTAGAGGGAGCTTGGAAGTTCTATGACTTAATTTAAATGGTGCAAATTCATCAGTGATTTTGATGACATATTTTCAGTATTGCATGATGTTAATTTGAAAAGTGGCATGCTTTGGATTGTGAACAGGCAGAGGTGCATTCAAACAATTATTACAAAGTAGAATGGTTCATGTTCTTCATAGCGAAGTTTGAACTGGTGTAGTAGCACTTGCCAGTTTAGCCATATGCTAAAACTGATTTAAATTGGCTTAACAAAGCAGGGCTGATTTGACTAGTTTAAATCAAATTTTAACCATTTGGAGAAAAAAGTGATGAAAAAGTAGTGTTTTGGTTAAAATAAACTTATTTTAAATTAGAATTACCCCGTGTTAGGAACCCTTCCCCTTACTTTGTCTTCTATTTTTCATCAAATCAGGTTTTCAGTTGGAATTGGATAAAGAAGAAACACCCTTATGGGAAAATGTCATCAGGCCCTTGGAACAATTCCAGGAAGTAGGAATAGGGATAAACATTGGCCAGGAATTGCCCAGGTGGAATGCTTTAAAAGATAGACTACAAATGGAAACAAATGAAAACCTGGCAAAATTTTTGATGGACTAGTAAGTGCCGCCATTTAATGCATATCCATCATCTCTGTTGGTTAATTCTGACAATTTGTATACTTAAAGCAGCCCATTACCAGTTATTTCTCTTTTTCGGAGAAGGGGCATTGAGTTTTAACTTCAAATCTTTGTGCACCTAGATCAATATTTACCTAGACCAAGACCTTTTTGACAAAAAAAGGGCAGTTCATTCAAATCTCGTGAAACCATCCTGTCTACTGGCTTGAAACCTGATGTATTTTAATTAGATTATTTTTTTAAATAACCCTTTAATGTTAAAACTTGTCTCAGTTGTTAAATTGTTCTACCAGTGTATACAGTTGTGTGAGTAGCTAGGTCCGTACATAATGTAATGTGCACAGAGTACAGTACTGGAGTAATATCAACTTTTATGCACTGGGGGAGGGTGGGGGGGATAACTAGGTTGACCAAAAATTTGAAAGAGTTGCAGTTTTAAAGTTTCTTTTTTGGCTGACAGATTGATTGATCTGGTTTGCTCCTTCAAACTTGGCATTTTGACTTAATTTTAGTCATGTGAGTAACAAGTAGAAGTGGTTTTGTGTTATATGGAGTCCAAGCTTGCTTGAAATGCAACTTCAAAGTTAATGGAAATTAAGATTAGAAACTTAGAGTAAAACAGTTATGTTATCTTTATGATACTGTTTGATAAATGAATATATAACTTTTGACTAATATTTTCTATTTCAGCTACTGTAATGGTGGGGACAATGTTCATAATCCAGTCATAAATGACACCATAGGGATGCACAGTTTATATGCTCAAAGTAAATTGTGCACCAGAAAGCAGCAAGAGCCAGAGCAGAATAGCACCATTTCTGAAACAGTCACTGACACCAGAGGACAGGAAGATTTAGATGACAGAAGGGAGCAAGACTTAGATCACAGTTATTCCTGTACTCCGGCAGTCTCTGACAGTAGCAGGGAGCAAGATTCAAATCACATTAATTCCTTTACTCAAGCTGTCTCTGATCCCAAAGGACAACAAGAAGCATCTAAAAGTATACAGATCATACCAACAACACAAACTGACCAACATGCATCGATGAAACAGGTTGGTTCTAGTGGAGTTAAAGATACAGTAAAGAAATACTTGATTGTTTGGGCTCCAAAGCGTCCGAATTCAACCCAAAAAGGAGATTCAGTGCCTAACAAAGATGTCGATTTGAAAAGCCCTCTCACCGTTTCTACTCGACCAAATGTAGTTCGGAGTGAAATACCCATCAAGACAGCAACCAATAAGACTACTATGATATCAAGTGTTTCTTCCAATAAGGTTCTAGCAAGCTCATTGAAATCTACTCAAAGAGGACAATTCTTGCCAGATCAAAATAACACACATGATATTGGCACATTTGTCTCTCAGCCACAACTTACCTTGAAAAACAAAATTACAGACGAGCCTCTTTTAAAGGATTCAGAGAAAAAGTCTAGTGTTACTTGGATTTCTATATTGAAACCAAAAAAATCTAATATTGACACCAGAAAGGAGATAGTTGACACCAAAAAGGAGATAGTTGACACCAAGAAGATGGTTCAAAAGTTACAAGGAAATGGGCCTTTCATCTGTGATGCTTGTGGAATGACGTTTAGCTACTTAGCGCTTCTCAACTTACACAAAATAAAGCACAAATCTGTGTCAAAAATGATGTATTACTGTAAAAAATGTAAGTGTTCAGTTTATGAAAAGGATCGAGAGGCTCATGAACGCACTCATAAAAAGGCCTACAAACCAGAAATGTACATATGCCAGTACTGTGGTAAAGACTTTCCTACAATGAATAAATGTACTCTTCATGAAAGAACTCACTTAGGAGAAAGGCCATTTATTTGTAAGGTTTGTGGAAAGGCATTAGTTCGGAAGAGAAACTTGATATTGCATGAAATGACCCATGCTGGAAAAAGGCCACATAAATGCCGTTTCTGTGAGAGACGCTTTGTGCAGAAACATGCTGCTATTAACCATGAATGGGTTCACACGGGAGAAAAGCCTTTCAAGTGTAGGTTTTGCGGAAAGAGGTTCACACAAAGTGGTACACGTAACAGCCATGAGAGGATCCACACCAATGTGAGGACCTTCCACTGCCAATATTGCAGGAAAGTTTTCGCTTATGAGAGAGAATGTGTTAAACATGAAGCTGTTCACAAGGACATAAAATCATAAATTATGAAGTGAATTTACTTAGCACCAGTTATATCATAAACAAGAAGTGCGTAATTTGCATGAACAAAATTACATATTTTATTTTTATTCTATTTTATTTTTTTACTTTATTGAAAGTTTGAAGATTTGTTTTTATGTTAATAAAAGCTCCCTTAAAACCATTGGTCACATGAACATGATGCGTTTGACAGTATTTGATAAAAAAATTAAAAATACTACATTTCCATCATTTGATTGAATAATACACCCCTAAAATATGTATGACTTGGTTGTTGTTTAACTATTTGGGGATTGCGCACAGTTCTAGATGTGAAGAGTGAATTTGTTATTAAAAATAAAGACAGCACTTAAGTTAGTGTCTTATATGAAATTGATTGGACCTGGAGTTTTGCACGAGTTGTGTTTTATAATGATTTGATAGGTCATATACACTTTGCTTTGTCCAATTACAAATAAGATCATAAAAACAGCATAATTTTCACATAAAACCAATTACAATTCAGATAATCCATAATAACATTTCCTAGAGCAATATGCTTCAACTTTCTAATGTTACATATATGCGTCGATTCTGTAGAGTGGATGCCAGTTGGCAGCATTATTCCATTCAATTGTACAAACAAATTAAAAAGAGATGTGCCCTTTAGTTAAAAGATGAACACACATTTCTGTCAGTACAAAATTTTGAGCAATGTTGATTGAAATACTATCCTGTTCGACTGCACAATAAGAGACTCCTCTTAAAGCCTTTGACAATTTGTTTTACAGCAGGAAAACCAGGTGGAGCAAAGAAATGAATTGCTCAGCTCATCACATACCAAAAGGGAGCATCCTCAAGTTATACTTAGGCCACACTTTTTTAATTTTATGGATGACATCCTGCGCGCGCACCGATTTTCG